GCATGTAAGCAGACGTTGTTTAAAGGAGACCACCGGTAGAATATCCCGCTTCAAAACCCCAAGATCCTGGCAGAGATATGCGGACTGGCCGTTTTCTATACAATGGATTATCATGTTTAAACCACGCATATACTCCGGGATGTGCTATAAAGGCTTTAGAACAAAGGAAAAACTTTGGACGCGATTGCTATCCCTCTTCTGCCCCTTCATCGTGCTGATCCAGTGGGATCATTCATCAGGGGAAAGAAACAAGGTACACGTAGTTTATGGATGTAATGTAATACCACGCGTCTGTAGACTTAGGCCACTATGTGCCCACATAAGTGGGAATTGCTCAACATTGCGCTCAATGTAGTCAAAACATGAACCAAATGCAGTAATTAGTATTCCGATTTTCTATGAATTGGACTCTAATGCAGACATTCTGACAAAAAACCAGTTAATTCTTGAGCGTTTCTGAGTTTCAGGTAATTTTTATTACATCGGAAGAAGCGACTTTATCTTAGCCACTTACATCGGGAGCCTTCACCTCACTAAATTGTGACATGTCAGACAACGGGGGTATTTTGTAAAAATCACAGTAGATTGCATATCGGACCGGATTCTGTCGGGAAGAGTCCATCCTTTATGGCAAACTTCTTAAGTCTGGGATGCAAATTGTATGTTTAGATAAATTGAGTTAGTTAGCTTGGTGAACAGTTTGGATACCTCCGAGATGGAGGTTTCATTTAAAGCTTTTCTTCTTAAAACAACTCCCTCTGCGGGACTGATGGACTCGGTTGACGTAGTTCCAAAGTACGCCTTGTAACTTTCACTTTATTCGTGATATCCATACCAATTGAAGGAATCGAGTAGGGTAGCAAGTGTTCTGCAAAACACCTAATAAGCCTATTCCCTAGAATAAAAATTAGGTCTCACACACCTCATGCTAGGGTAGAGTCTTAGAGGGCTAGATTGCGTAACGACACGAACAGTTTGAAAATGTCTATATTTTCATTAGGAACAGTTTCAAACAATAGTTCGTAATGATTTCCGATCATGTTGCTATAATTTGTAGAAGCAGTTTATAGGAGAAAAGTTGAGAGAATTATTTGAATTGATAAACATGTTTGTGGATACGCTTGTTTTTATCACTCATAAATTCTGTTCTACCGATTTCAGCCTAATGCGGAATTGAAGCGCAGCGGTGGGTGGGGTGTTGGAGTGAGACTATCCCTAATTTTTCTATGCCGAATTCTTTTTCACCCTCTTTGAGACGATATCCCTTATGACAAGACCCTAAAATTCTAGCCGTAGAAAATTGTAGCCATGTTTGGACTGAGGGCTCCCCTCCAGCTTCATTCTATTCGCCCTGTCACGGCATCCCTCCTAACGCTCACTTCTTAGCCACTTGATGATCGTTGTGCAGTTACGTTCGTGTCTCTTTTCTATCGTTATTATTGAAAATTTGTTTTTTCTTGAGGTGGGTGGGTTGGAGGGCTCACTAATACGGTCTCTCCACCAGTTTCATTTGCTCACGAGACCAGGTCACTTGCCTCCTATTCAGAGATTCTACGAAACCGTCTGACGGTGGCTTTCAAATCCTGTTTTGTTGTTTTCGAGAGCCGATTTATTATGAAGAAACCCTTCGTTATTCTTTTTCCACTCTTTCTTTTAAACTTTTTTACGTTTATTCCTGGCATGAAATAATTTTGTTTTCAGATGAATATTCTTTCACCCCCAACGAGCACTAATCTCCATGATTATATGTTTCACTGCATTCCTAAACACCATCCTGGTCGTGTAGGGTCGTGTAGGAGATTCCAGTGATAATCTTCCTCTCTCTCCATCTCGTTGTGTGTGTGTGTGTGTGTGTGCGTGCAGAGAAGGAGTACGCTCGGATTCGGGGCCACGGGAAAAGAGGGTCTTTGAGTGTGGTCGCTTGTGAGATCAAATATCAAATACGAATCGCTTCACCTGAGTCTGATATGCACAACCTGGTACGACAACCACTGGCCTTCTTTTCATCCGTGACCTTTCATCCGTGACCTCTTTCAAAAAGTTCCCTTTTTTTCTCTGACCCTTTCTGCAATTCGATTGGATAATTGTGTGCTATTCACGGACGATTGCAATCCCTCCCCATGACATGGGATTATTTGAGCACCAGTTTGAACTGTTTTTGACATGTCCATATTGACAGCAGTTGTTCCTCGATATTTCAATGAAGGCATATTGTTTAAGCATAAGAATAACGAGAATCACATATTAATGAATTTGAATGCTTGAATGTTGTTGGTTCACTGATCAACTTTAGACAGACGATTGAGAATCGGAATCGAGATCGATCGTGGAGCAACTTCACTCAACTCTTGTCTCCCTCTCCCGATTTGTGTGTGCGTGTGTGTGTG